ATATACATATTAGATATACATTTGTATGTATTTACATGTTGTAGAAGATATACCTGGTGGGGGAGGTGGGCCAGGTGGTGGAGGTGGGCCAGGTGGTGGTGGTGGTGGTGCTGGACCGCCTGCGGTGTAAATTATAGAATGGGTCAATACAGACCGAAACAAGGAACGAAGAAATTGTATGTACTATTCTGCAGGCCGCGACTAATTTAACAACATATAAGATACTCTTCTGTTCTAAAGTAGCATACGTCGTACAAACCTATTCTTAGATCGGGCGAAGTAAGCAACGTTTCCACGGTAAGCATTGATATACATCTCATAATGTTTGTAATTAATCATAAAAGTTGTCAGGTATGCGAGTGCATTTTGATTGTATAGTGAATGCGCCGTTTGTGACGAAAATAACGTTTGAAGTTCGAGATCACATGACGAGAAGTGAGTTATCTTACCTGCAGGTGGTGGAGGCGGTGGTGGGGCGAGACTCCCTACAGCAGTTTGAAGAAAACACAGTCAAATGAGAAGTGTTGCCAAGTACATCATTACAAGTGAGTGAGTTCTGCTAACAACTCTTAAACGCCAAATGAAGCTCAAATCCCAACATACGACAGGCAGTATCGCAGCCTTCGTTGGATGTATATAACACGATGCGGCAAAGGCATGCACTCGTGGCCACTCATGAGCTACTGGTAATGTAATGAACAAAGCAAGCAGGGCGGAGTAGGCTATTGGAGGTCGGGGGTACGCATAGACGGCGCTCAGGCACTGTAAATCAGACACACAGTTGTAAAATCGCGTCACATCATCTTGTACGCTATCGTTTAGATTGAAATATAGGAGCGACACAGATATGTCACCAACTCCACACGAAATCTGAACGAGCGTGCGTACGGTGTGCCATAGGTAGAATACATAAGTACCTGGAGGCGGCGGTGGCGGTGCAGGGCCGCCTGCTGCCGATTGAGGAGGGGGTGGGAGCGCACCACCTGTGGAGAGGAGCGAAAGAAGCACGATAGGTTGTATTCTAGAGAGCGGTTATCCTAAAACACGAGTACACGCTTAGTCACGTCCATGATGCGGAGTTTATGAAGAGAATGTGAATGCGCGCGGCGATCACTCCAAAGTGCTTAGAGAATAGTTGTGACTCTGCAGTTGGCAGTTCCCCGTGTGATACATAATCAGAGACTTCACGAACCCCAGGGTGTTGTGCCTAAGCGTGCTAACCACACGGCTAACTAGAAATAAATTCTGCCCAATTCAGCGCGATCAGATCAAGTTTTTAGGTCATAGCTCTCACCCTCATTTCACATTCAGAGGATCAACAAGAGTCGTCGTGCGTAGTCAACGGACCAGATGCGATGTGATGGGTCCACAACGACAGGGTGAAACGCACAACTTCACTCACAGCAACCATTCAATGTGGTACAGTCACAAGTGCATGCTATCTAATTTGGCTTGCCAGAACACAATTCAGTCGGAAAGACTACTTCTCAACCGCTGGCGAGTGTGCGAGGTCATAAGTTGAGCTATTGTCACAGTACAACTGCGTACCTGGAGGCGGAGGCGGATATGGGGCAACTCCAGGGGGCGGTGGTGGAGGTGGGGGACCGCTTCCTGTAGTATTGTAACAAGACAGGAACATAAAAGTTGTTATGTATATTCCAAGATATCAACAAGACGTGAGACGCGTCTTGTACTTGGGCGGAAACGGTCCGTAAACTTGCTCTGTGCTGCATACAAAAAATATCACTATATGTAGAACGATCTTCGCATACATTGTAGTTAGGCATACATCTGTTGCGGCACTAGCTCCAAAAACCGTACATAGTTTGACAGGAAGCTCAGACACACGACATAGTAACAGCAGATGTCTTCTGTTTAGATGTACGCCATTCTGGGTATTCGACCATTGGTTTAGAGTGCACATGTTTTTTATACTCCAACCCTACTTTGGAACAAGATATAGTGTACAATCATCCAATGCACACATACATACCTGTGGGCGGTAGCGGTGGCGGTGGCACTCCACCTGGTTTGCATAGTGAAAAGAAGAAAAAAAAACTAGGGTGAGTGTTTCGATTTTTTGTACCTACGGCAGGAATGCACACATTGACACAAGATTTAAACTCGGCCAACAAGGAGTGTGTTCAGAATCAAAATACATATTACGACATGAGTGGAAATGGTGTCCCGGCGCTGCATTAGATATTCATTCAGTATAAATTGTATCTATACATATCACTACAAAACGAATTCCATAACGTAATGGAACAAAGTTTCTCGGAGCGACTAGCTGTGTAAAATGAGTGCGCTGGTGGTTGAATTATCTTCTTTTCGCTGTCGCATAGACCAAACAGTCTTTTCTTCTGAACATCCCTATATCAATATATATATACAGGTTGAAAACAACTGGTATGTATACATATGTACACATTGCAACCAAACGGCACCTGGTGGTGGAGAGGGCCCAGGAACGCCACTGTTAGCAAGAGGCGAGCCAGCTGCTGGGTTTACCACATCCGCGTTGCGCTGTTTGAGCTTGAAGTCGTCATCGGATGTCATCACAGTGAAGTCCCACTCGCCCACGATTAAACCGCACGTTCGCATAGCATCTCCTGGAAAGACAAAAGATTGAGATATACAAATTTCAGCCTAATATTCTGTGTGGGGTATTGTATCATATATAACGTTCTCGCTATACGAAACCGTAGTCAAGAATGCGCATGTTTTTGTTGTTGAAATTAAGACCTACGAACAGTTGACACGCGGACGAAGATATTCTGTCGAAGGTCCAATGGCTAGTACATCACTGGCGTTTCGGCACTTTTCAAATTTTCCAGGATGAGATTCACTGTTTCCTTCACAACACTGTGACCAAGAATCCCTGTACAATATCTTTAGCAATCCCGTACATGTCACACGTTGCTTGGCCAGCAATTTTCCACAAGAACTGCAAGAGCAGTTCGATGCACGCACCTGCTTTCCTTTGCCCGGTCGGGGTCTCTTTGACTCGATTCCTCTTCGCTTTTGGCGTTTTGTGTTTTAATTTGCCTGCTATCTCCGGATCGCTGCTCATCGAAACAATGCGATATCAAAATTAATGACATGTTTGGCAGGGATAAGTACATGCACATATTCTAAGGCCAAACGCTCGTTCAAGTAACAGGCGGATCAAATTCAAGGGAGGTTTGCGCCAGGACTGCATATTTGTTCATTGCTAATGTGATCTTTCTTTGCTATGCTTTTAGTGAGCTCATATGTCGCTGATCAGGACACTACGCATCGCCCTGTAGCCGAGGTCAACCACATCTCAATGCATACTCTGCTATACGTATGTAAGAGCCATTGAAGACATAGATATCAATAAGCCTAGGTATCTACACATTTTCTAGCTCAAAAAATGAGACCGAGGGGTGTCAGGCAATCATCACATCGGAATGAACGGACAACTTAAAACTCGTAATAAGTGAAAACAAGACGTTCCAACGGCGCGCCAAACACATATACTCTTTAAATCCCACATACATTTTGCTATTAGAATCTATATCTGCTGCATCGTTCTCCACTTCCAGATCGCCACCAGCAAGAATTCCCTTCACACTCTCTAACTTGGGTGTTTCCTCAAGCGCATTAGCTTTGGGTTCTTTCTCCTTCGCCTCATGCTCCTCCTTTTCCTTCTGCTTCAGTTGCTGCATCTTGGTTTCCCAGACGAGGGCTTTGCCACAGGAGCTCTTCCTCTGGAAACATTAGATTAGTGACAAGGATCGATACTTTAATGCGTAGAAATGTGCGAATACTGACCGCAGTTATATAAACGATATGACTTTTGGACTCTAAAAATCAGTCTCCTCAGGACCTTATTCGCAGCAGTTGAAACAATTACAAATACAGTCATTGGTACATTTAAAAAAAAACCCACTCGACAGAGTTACGCACACACTATGAAATAAGGCACTCTGCCAAGCTAGCCGGCATAAAGATCGTTGCTTTATTCTACAAAGTGCACATGATTATACACACACGCATGTATTCCATTAAGCACATTCTATCAGGTGCTGAAAAGATAAACATACTGGTACTGGGGAAGGCACAACTAGCGAAGACTTGGCCTCGATTTTAGCATGCGGTAAGGTGCTGTAAAGGTGAAATTTAATGCAGACATCAGTGAACGATCCCTTTCAAACTGTTGCTTGTGTACTTTCATAAATTAACCCTGACCTTGGTGAGTGCACATTTAAGCCATTTGCTCACACAAAGCCGAACAGATATCGTCAAAATTTGAGACACGAACTTGTGTGAGCTTATGCTTAACAAATCATATCGAGACCAACTTTTCAAAGCGTGAGATAAGTATCTCAATATGTATATATATATAAGTATCTCACCATATATATATATAAATGTTTATATATATTTATAAC